CTCCCCACCCTGACCTGTGTTCTCTTCCCTGATTGACTTTTCTTTTTCAGCAGAAGCAGGGCTGGGCTGTCTCCATCCCTGTCTTAACTTTGTGTTGCTCTGAGTAATACTGTCTTACTTTCCTAATGAGAATGAATCTGGATATGAATTTATTACTGCCTTGATGGGTTGATGGAATAATAAAGGTGAGGATTCCCAAAGTTTGAGAGAGGAAATCAATGGAGCCCTGAGAACCTTCCAGAATCTGCATGTTTGCTGTGTTGAGTCTGTTGCAGGGGGGACAGGAGAAGTATGTGAGGAGTGTAGGCAGGGACTGTGCCCAGTCAGTGCTCAGTTCCTTGTGGGCTGTGAAGGGGTCACTACTGGGACGGGTCATCTCTGTTCCTGTGTCCCTGTAACTTCAGTAGAACCTGGTCCCACCAGGACCTGTGATCACAGGGACCCAGAAGTGACCTGGGCCTTGTCCTCTCTGGGGGACATTGGCAGTGAGGGCAGTGAAGGCTCAGACCAGAGTCCAGCCTTCAGCCCATTTATTTTTGTGTTTATATTTTGCCTATTTAAAAAATTTTAAATTATGACTGTTCTTTTTCAAATTTAGAGCTCTGTTCTCATTCTGCTCTGGGTGTCTCCCATCTCTGACACCAGTAGGAGTCATTTTTGCCAGTCATTGTCCCCACAAGTCCCAGGGGTCCCTGCACACAGGCTTTCCATGGTATCACGAGAGAAATTCTCAGCCTCATCCAGCTCTTGCCCGCCTTCTACTGCTATTTCTGGGATTCTTCTCTGCATGTTTCCCTCACCTTTTTTGTAGAACAAAGATTCTGGAATTAGTGAAAATGAGGGACCGAGTAGTTTCGCATCCTCATTTAATTCTTACAGGATTTCTGTCTTCTCTGCAGCCACTCCCTCTCTCTGCCCTTAGATCTAGTGATGGCTCCAATCCCAACTCATGGATTAATAGATCAGATCTGATGTATATTTACTGTAGGTTGGACCATAGGACCATAAGCACAGGATCATCTTCTGAGAAGACAGATATCATTGTGTGTACTGTGGAGACAGGTGGCTGTGGGGTAGAGGGGAGATCATCACTTGTGAGAGATAGAAAAATGCTTTGAGGGGATGAAAATGTTCTAAAATTGACTGTGGTTATCATCACACCCCTCTGTGAATATGCTAAAATCAATTCTTCCCAATGGTTGAATGAGATATGTGAATTATACCTCAGTAAAGCTGTTCTAAGAAAAAGTTCTGACCCCACATCAAATGAAGCAGAATTGCCGGAACCACTGTGGTGACTGAGGAGGAAGACATGAAAAAGCTCAGGGGAGTGGACGTGCCAGCATAAAGTAAAACTGGAAAAAACCCAGGAGACTGTTTCCCAAAGGAAACTTTCTCAGGTAATAAGGAATGAGCAAGTGAGCAGATTATTAACCCCATTGTGTCTGTCCTTTCTAGGAGCGGACTGACTCTAGGAGATAATATTATACCAGCATCAGGGATAATAGGATCCCAGAATGTCAGAGGACAGGTGACAGCAAGGCAGAAACAAGGACTAAATTCCTAAAAGCCAACAATGTCAAATAGATGCAGGAAAATCTGACTGCAAGGTCTTTATGGAAATGCTTGGTAGATCGTGGCATTTCTAGGGACAAGGTAGATGACAGCCAGCAAGAGTGTTGCTTAGCTTATAACCAAGAATACTCTATCCTGCAAGGCTCTTGTTCTGATTTGATGGAGAAGTCAAAACCTTTGCAGTAAACAAAAGCTAAAAGAATTCTGTACCACCAAACCAGCTTTACAACACATGTTAAAGGAACTTCTCTAGTCATCAAGTAAGAAAAAAGAACAAAAATAAGAATGGGGTGGGGGGACCTATAAAAGATTGCTTTGGTAATTTGGGGACTTTTATGGTACCATAAAAATTTTGGAATTGTTTTTTTCTCGTTCTGTGAAGAATGTCGTGAGTATTTTGACAGAGGTTGCATTGGATCTGTAGATTGCTTTGGGTAGTATGGCCATTTTGATGATGTTGATTCTTCCAATCCAGGAGCACAAGCTATCTTTCCATTTCTTTGTATCATCTCCAGTTTCCTTCATCAGTGTTTTACAGTTTTCAGAGTATAGGTAACCTCCTTGGCTAAGTTTATTTCCAGGTATTTTGTTGTTTTTGATGCAATGGGAATGTTTATGCCAGTTATAAAATTCTGGTTTTTGAAGTGAAAAAAAAATTATTGAAGGGGAGCAAATGGCAAAATAGCCTTCCTTTTTATGGGTGAGTTGTATTCTGTTACATGTATGTCCTGCATCTTCTTTATCCATTCATTTATTGATGTGCACTTAGGATGCTTCCATATCTTGGCAATTTAAATAATGTTGCTATTAATAGCGGGTGTATGTATCTTTTTGAATTAATTTTTATTTTGTTGTTGGCTTTATTCCTTTGATAACTATGTAAGTTTAAAAAGCTTAAAGCTCTAAACATTCTTAGAAACAATGAACGGTACATATATGTTAATTTTTAGAAATACATGCAGTATATTGTGTATATGTATTTACATGCAATATATTGTATATGTGCAGTCAAATTGTAACAATTCTACCTAATAAAACTGAAAACTGAAAAAAAAGATTAAGAAACCTTATTACAGCCTGAGAAATTAAATCTATTCCTTAAGTTAAATTTGTGTTTAGCTGAGCTAAATCCTTGAAGACTTCAGTGCTTCTTGGAAGACGTGTCTCCCTCTAGCTCATATCCACATTTACATGCCTACTGGCTCTTGTAAGCAGTTTTGGCTGAGACCCCTGCATGGACTGTAAGAACTTTGCCTCCCCCCTATATTTGCTTGTTGACTTTTGATTTTGTACCAATACCATGTTGTTTTGATTACTGTAGCTCTGTAGTATTGTCTAGGAGAGTTATTCCTCCAGCTGCTTGTTGGCTTTTGAATAAATAATATTTTAAATTTTAAAAAAGTGTCATTTAACATGATAATTAATAAGAATAACTGAATTGAGAGCTGAGATGAGTTGCCTAATAGAAAGTTATCATTTCTTATCCAGCTTCCAGACTTGAGCCAATTCTGAGACCCAGGACTCACTGGCTGAAGGGAGCTGAGGTCCCCTGAGGAAATACCCTAGAATATATGGCAACTGGGTACAGTAGGAATTCCCTTCGTCCTTCCATATAGGAACCAATGGCCAATTTTCAGATTTCCATTAACTGAACAAAGGAGGATCTAGGTCCCTTTATGTCTGCTGCATAGAGTCCAATTTGACACTGATGTCTGGAAGCCAAAGTACCATCCTGAACCCCCATTAGAGAAGCATTTGGGGAGATGACTTAATTTGAGTCCTGTCTTAGGCCCACCCATATGTCAGTGGGTTCTCGGTCTCCACACATCCACTTGGCGGGAATCTCCTCAGTTTCCAAATATCTCATTGGAGGCGATGTATGTAGAGTTTCTAAGAATCCTCATATTGGTTCTATCACCTGCAGAGCAAATGCTTTTAGTGAGAAAAGCCAAGTAGAAGCCACTGAAAAAGCCTCCCAAGTTCAGTCAAGACAGAACATTAAAAACAATGTTGTATCTTGGGGGCAATGAAAGAGATAAACATCTTCCTCAGAGACTTAAAGGATGGGGGGTCCCCCTCCTATAACCACTTGATCCAGCCCTGAGGTTCTTGCAGAAACCGGAACTGTCATTGCCAATGGCAGTGAGACAGCGCTAACTCAGCCCTGCTGCCTTTTTTTTCATTTCTGACCTTTGTGTTTCCATCTACACAGTTCTCTCTTTTAATCCCAAATTACCTGGAAGACTGGGACAGGTTTTTGGGAACATAGTTTTGATCTGGATTGCTGTGGAGTGAGCACCAAATCCTGTGAACTTGATCTCTTTATTTATTCCATGCTCTTCACTCCTAGTCTCAGCCCTGTGAGAGGCCGTCAGATGGTTCTCAAAGTCACCCTGTGGTTGGCAGACTCTACGTTAGTCCCCAGTGTTCCCCCCTCTGGTATCATGCTCTTGTGTAATATACACTTTTGGAATATAAACTGGATGTAATGGTAACAAACAGAACAGGGCAGGTGCTGGGCTGTATATTTTGGAATCACTGGGGGAAGAGACACAAGGGACCTGGGGTCAGTTGTCTCAGGCTGGCTGTCCAGGCTAGGCTGGGGCAGCAGAGATTTCCCATGGAGCCCAGTGACAAGGGACCCTGTGTTCCTTTCCTACCTGAGGAATTTCTCCTCTAGATCTGAGCCCCCACAGCCCCTGCCATCAGACAGTATGAGGAGGAGGAAGAGACCAGCAGTGATTCTCATCCTGGCTGGAATGTCGAGGGAACTGTCTGTAAAAGGAACAAGAAGGAAGTGAACAAACCAAGGCTCCCAAATCTAACACCTGGTGATCCACACACTCCCCTAGGTCAGACCTCATGTAGAAAGATGAAGAGGGTAACAGTCTCCAGTCTTCCTGTTCTTCCCCCTGGGGCCCAGCTCTATTCTGCAACTGAGAATACTTGCTAGAAGCTTTTGTTTGAACCAATATGGGGATTCTGGCCAACTCTACGTATGTCTCCTCCAATGACATGTTTGGAAACTGGGGAAATTCCCACCAAGTGGATGTGTGGAGACAGAGAACCCACTGGCATATGCGTGGACTTAAGAGAGGACTTGAATTTTGTCATCTTCCTTACGTGCTTCTCCTCTCATAGGGGTTCATGGTGGTACTTCGGTTCCCAGGTATCAGTGTCAAGTTGGACTCTGTATCCAGTAGAAATAAAGGGACCTAGATCTTCCTTTGTTCAGTGAATGGAAATCTGAAAAATGGCCATTGGTACCTATATGGAAGGACGTGGGGAATTCCTACTGCACATAGTTGCCATGTTAGAATTGATTTTAGCATATTCAGAGAGGTGTGACCATACCCACAGACAATTTTGGAACATTTTCATCCCCCCAAAGCATTTTTCTGTCTCTCACAAGTGATGATCTCACCTCCACCCCACAGCCACCTGTCTCCACAGCACACACAATGAGGTTTGTCTCCTCAGAAGATGATCCTACATTTATGGGTCCTATGGTCCAACCCACTGTGAAATTACATTAGACTCTGTTACAAATCCATGAGTTTGGCCTGGAGCCAGCACTAGGATTACTAGATCTAAGGGCACAGAGAGAGAGAACAGGCTGCAGAGAAGACAGAAATCCTGTAAGAATTAAATGAGGATGCGAAACTACTGAGTCCCTCCTCTTCGCTAATTCTTTCATCTTTGTTTCATAAAAAAAGACGAGGAAAACATGCAAAGAAGAATCCCGGAAACAGTGGCAGAAGGAGGGCAAGAGCTGGATGAGGCTGAGAATTTCTCTCTTGATACTGAGAACTGAGAACCTGTGTGCAGGGACCCCTGGGATTTGTGGGGACAATGACTGGTAAAAATGACTCCTACTAGTGTCAGAGATGGGAGACACCCAGAGCAGAATGAGACCAGAACTCTAAATTTGGAAAAGAACAATCATAATTTTTTTTAAATCCTAAATAGGTGAAATATAAATACACAAAAAAAGATGGGCTGAGGGCTGGACTCTGGTCTGAGCCTAAGCTGATCTGGTCACAGGAAGCCCTCACTACCAGTGTCCTCTACAAGGCCCGGGTAACTTCTGAGTGCCTGTGATCACAGGTCCTGGTGGGACCAGGTTCTACTGAAGTTACAGGGACACAGGAACAGAGATGACCCGTCCCAGTAGTGACCCCTCCACAGCCCACAAGGAACTGAGCACTGACTGGGCACAGTCCCTGCCCACACCTCACATACTTCTCCTGTCCCCCCTGCAACAGACTCAACACAGCAAACATGCAGATTCTGGAAGGTTCTCAGGGCTCCATTGATTTCCTCTCTCAAACTTTGGGAATCCTCACCTTTATTATTCCATCAACCCATCAAAGCAGTAATAAATTCATATCCAGATTCATTCTCATTAGGAAAGTAAGACAGTATTACTCAGAGCAACACAAAGTTAAGACAGGGATGGAGACAGCCCAGCCCTGCTTCTGCTGAAAAAGAAGAGTCAATCAGGGAAGAGAACACAGGTCAGGGTGGGGAG